CCCCCCCCCCCCCCCCCCCCCCAAAAAAAATCAGTGACCACTACCTTTGATCACTAAACCAATGTCTCCAAATGACTCGTTTCAAACTTCTCCTGCAGGAAGTGGACTGGTGTAAGCAGGAAGACAAGGTTGGGGTATTAATACTTTTATTTCAAGGGAGCAAGTTTATACAAATACTGAGATGGCTGCTCCAACAGGAGGGTGAGATTTCAATGTGCAAGTCCCATCCCTTGACAAGTGCCTACTGATTTCATTTTATCATCACCTCGTGTAGCTAAAGTCCTGTGGGAGAGTTAAGATACTGCTGCTGTTGAATCACTGCAGAAGGGTGAGGGTTTGAGGCCAAAAGGAAAACTGGCATGCTGCTCAAGTTTTCAGTTGCAGCAGAGGAAACATGCAGACTTTAAGGAACAACTTGGTTTCAGTGTTGTACATCAGCGTTAAAGAACTAAAGATATGTTGACCAGTAATCGTTGAATTGCTTAAGTCTGCCCGTTGACTCTATACACAGTATATACAAAGCTTTACCTGCTCCAACACCCCAAGATTCTATGAGTGAGTTAAGTAACTTTTTAATAACCAAATTCTACCCAACTGGGAAACTAGTAGAAATTTTGTATTATTAGTAAAAAGAGCTGGCTTTCATGATTAGATAGGAAAGTGCTACACAGGCAAGCTCTTCATTCATTCATCCATCCATCCATCCATCCATCCAGCAGTCAGATATTTTTAGAGGACACAGTATATGGGATTCAGATAGTCTGAGAGTCACTTTCATCACTACCATCTGAAGTGCTCTTTCTCTCGGTATTTACAGCAGCAAGGGCTGTGTCCACTTGAATTTCCTCTTCATCAGACTGAATAACAGGAGACTCTCCTTCACTTGCATCTTGGCTGGCAGAGTCGGTGCAGGTTGATGATAACGAAGACCATTTTTGCTTTAATTCAGACTGGCTTGGAACCGGAAGACTTATTTCAGTTGGGTAGGTAGCTGAGTCAGACCCTTTAAATAGAAAAAAAAGAACAGAAAAGACAACATTAATTAATCTACTGAGCCAGAACCTTATTAGATCTATTCCTGTTTTATGCTGCTGTTACGTTAAAATACATCAGCAGGGTAGCATTAAATTGCAGTGGTTAATGGGTGGCCTGAGTGTACTTGTATGACTAAGGAGCCAAGAGCTTTGCCTCTGCTGTGGAACACTACTTACCATTTTACACAACTGGTCTGTGTACCTCCATTTGTTCTCAGATGCAATTCAAGGTGCTGTTTTTGGTCTATAAGGCCTGAAGTGGTTTGGCTCCTAGCTCATTCATGTCCTCTGGCTCCCTCCCCCTAGTCGACACCAAATAGTGAGACTAAGCAAGGTGATCTTTACTCTGCCTCCTGGCCACGACCCTTTTGATTCTTCCCATAAGAGTCTGACACTTGCATTTCTGTTTAATGTGGTAAAACCTATTCTGACTTCAGCATGTGCTACAGGCATTTATTCACCACTTATTTTTAATCCAACTAAAGTGCAGTTTGTTGAGGGGGACGGAGTACAGGACAATTAATCCACGTTAACCAACTGGTTCAGGTGACCTGCTGTTACTAGATTCCTACTAACAGTCAGACCATTCATCAGGCTACAGCTTGTCAAAATCGGTTAGGGTTTCTTGATTACAAAACTTGGATTATCAATCCAACAGTAACTAGGATATGCCAGAATGAGAATCGCTCAATAAGAGATTCCAGGACTGCTCAATATATTAGAACATTATCCTAAAATACTAAGAAATTGTATGCTAAATAGTGTTCTCACCAAGCAAGGAACACTAGACTTTGATGTAAAGTGTAAGGAATGGCATTAGAGTAGCTTCTTAGCAAAGATGCTAACCCTACTACTTCTAAAAGACTTAGAGCAACATGGATCAACTTACAGAGTTTAATTTCTTCAATGAAATGAGCATAAATGGGATGGAATGGCAAGTAATGTAAAATGGTCGTAAATAATTTCAAGGAGGACACAAACAACCATCAGCCCCATCCATCCGTAACAAGATTCAAGAATAATAAAGCAATCACTTAATACTGGGTTTCCAGGCCAAACTATTTCCAACCATAAGATTTCCAAAAGTCTCTCTACGGGCTTTCCCACAGTGACTAAAACTCTGAGCCACTCTTATATTGCAAGTAGTTATGACTTTTCAAAATGCCAAATTAAAGACAAATTATGGAAAGAATATTGGACTTAAATACAAATCTTAACTACCACAATTAAAATCCTCTTTGAAGCTACTTTGTGAGAGTTCTTTGGGCAGGTCTTCATATGTGCTTTATTGTGCATTAGCCTATTTTCACATGCATTAAAGCATCACTAAAAACTGTGCTCTTTAGTTAATGTGCATCAAAATAAGCTAATGCGCATTCTTCTAGAACCTCGCAATGGAGGGCATTTGTACACATATTTGCACAGCAGGGCTGAGCACTTTTAAAAGTGCCTGGTGCTGTGTCGCATGCAATTTTATAAGCAGTGAAATGCGCATCAGCATGCAGAAAATGGCGGTGGCACACTTTAGAACTAAAAAACAAAGGTATTTTAGTTCAAAAGCGCACCTTCGCCAATTCTGCATGCTTACACACATTTTGTCGCATATACAACTGCATGCGATGCAGTGCAGAGAGCAGCAGCTCCAGCACATCAGAACACAAACAAAATATGTATAAATGTCCGAAGATACTAAATAAGGTGCATTAACTAAAGTACATTAATGCATGTGTAGATACTCCCTTTGTGTCTTGTGCCTGGGAATTTGGTGGAAATACTAGCCATTTGAACACGGATTAACTATGAATCTATACACAGTATAGAGAGCATACATTAGAAAATAGGGAGATCCTTGTATCTTATTTATGCAAATACAATACACAGATTTGCAAGGCGTGCCATGGTGGTTCATTTCATACCCAACACTGGAGAAAGCATACTATTGTCTTCTCCTCCTGAGTTCAAGAAGACATCTAGTGCTTCTTGGTCAGACATGTCCATGAGATCCATCTGTTCCAGCATGTCCACGTTCACTTCCATGGAAGACATACTGCCTATTGGTTCTGTGGCAAAAAATAATTCAATGAACTTTTAACTCTGATACGTTGTAAGCAAAAAGCAAGTGGCTTATTAAAAAGTGATATTACTTGCCGTGACTTCCAAAATTACTACAGCAATATATTGTGCCATTAACTATTAAACAGATAATGCTCACTATTGCATATACTGGTAGAAAGTGAAACACTGTTATGTCTTTAATCAATTACCAAAACTAACTTCAGTCAACAAGATATATCTTAACGGCATCTCAAGTTATTTTATTATACCAGCTGTGCTGTACAAACGATGGGTACCACTAGACCAATTAACTTCAAGAGGAAGTTTCAGAATCTCCATAAGCAAAAAATATTACTACTCTCTTGCTCTTTTTGTCGTGAAAAGGGGCTGACATCACTGCTTTTTTAAACAGTTATTTTATTAACAGGAATATTTACAATGCAGTAGCATCCAGCTCCCAAAAGAATGAGAGCCCCCCTATTGGAAGAGAAGGTCCAGAAATGCCTGTGTAGACATAAGACTGCCCTAAGGAGATTACTATCCAAACTTTGTCTTCTCACCTCACAATTCTTTATGTCCTCACATTCACTCGTAATATAAATCTCTCGGGGAAAAAAGGCAGAGAAATGGGCAACACTTCAGTAACCACACATGGGTTCTATGTAGGTAAAACAACAATAATTCTTTCATCCCAAGAAAGTATGAGCATGCAAAGCCTATACTAATGTCCAAGACACTGGATAAGGACAGGGATTTCACACCAGTGATGTTTAATGAAAAATCCTGATTTCTCCCAGTATAAAGGGACCCAGTGCTTGAAGACCCATCTGCTTCTTCGATTGAGTGGTTCAACCTTTTTGAACTTGAGGCCCCCTCCGTAACTTTTGTAAATTGAGTGGCACCCAATTTCAAAAACTATTTTTTATATTACAGTGTACAAGGGCCAGGCAGGAACAAGCCTAAGTCTGTGTTTATCTGCTTATCTCCTCACACCTTGTATCACCCTTCAAAGGATCTCACTTAACCGCAGTTGAGAACCACTGCTTTAATCTAGTGAACAGCATATGTTACTTAGGCAAATACTTTCAGCTGTCCACTCTGAA